CAATTTGGCACAACTGTAAGACACCGAAAACTTTATCATAAGTTGAGCTGAGCTGAGCTTATTATCAGCCCAGCTAAAGTAGCCATTAGACACGGGACCGTCAGTTGAGGACCCGCATTCAGTTAGCTTGCCTAGCGTTAGCCGAAGGGCTAACAGGGCTACCTCCGGCTAAAATGGCTGTTAGCATGCGAGCTAGCTGGGGGAGCCCTCTTCACGTCCGACACACACATTCACTACTAGCACGCTAACATTAGCAAGCTACGACAAAAACAGAAGAGTAATCCCGCGTCTTCTTCCTCTATCAAGTAAACCGAAGACGCCGAAAAATAATAAACTTAACGAATAACACCGTAACAAATGATATCATTAAACAATACTTACCATTTCCATCGCTGGCGGAGGCGGAAAGTGCCGGAGAGGAGAGTTTAGGCCTCTTGGCTGAAGGCGGGCCAGAGTCCAGAACGTTCTCGGCCATATTTTTTCGAAATAAAAATATATAAAGTATCCACAATTGCAGACGTTTTCACGCCCTTAGAAGCTCATTCCTTTTCGTTTCCAATATTGCGACTTTTCCCCCTCCTTTGGGGGGACTAAGAGGGGGAAAGTCCCGTGTACAAATTACTCCTCTTTCCCTGGGTTCGCCTCTCGATTTCAGCCTCGGCGTATATCAACCCCCCTCCCTCCCTCGTCGGATTTTTTGTTCTTTATAAATTTCTGCCAGCGGAGGAGGAGGGGGTCGGTGAAAGTAAAGGGGGAGACACACGCAGCGGCTTCCCTCTAAACTTACACAGCCTCTTCGGATGTAAATAAACCGTCCCTGGGTCTCTCTCCCATGGTTGCATCCGTCATTTCAGCCTCCAATCCAGCGGAGTCTGGATGAAGATAATGTCGGGCAGAAAAGGCTTGTTTGCCTGCGAAGTGATGGTGGTGCTGCTGGTGGCAGCGGGTGAGGATGAGGGGATGCAAATAATAAAATAAAGCTGTGCAGCTGCAACGGTAGATAAAGTACAATGCTTATTTACTATGCTATGCATGTAAAAGAAGAAAAAAGTTATTTATTTATGAAATTCGTCTGCGCAGGTAAACTTGCATCTGCTTTTTGTAGAGGGTTTGGCTGCAAATCTTAAAGTTGGATTATGTTCAACAGTTTATTTTAAATGCAAGCATTCAAATTGTTAATCATTTTTGCAGTCAGTGCGTTTAAATACAGCAAATTAAACACGTGCACCAACTTTGGTTTTCAAGTGCAGCAACAGAGATGGATTCACAAACACCCAAAACTATGTGTGTATGTTTCTCAGGAAAGACTTGGTTTAACTTTATTCATCAGTCACCGTTTACTAAATTAAAGACCCATTCCTGTCACCCTTCTTTTGCTCTGTTTGCTTCCTCATAGGCAAAATGGTGGCCTCGTGCATAAATTTCTTAACAGACAAATACAGTTCCCTTGGCCTGTCCATGTGTAAACTCAATTTAGCTCCCTGACAAGTCTCATTCTTTCACTTTTCAATTAAAAAATCATCCTCCTGTTCTGTTCTTGCACTTTAACACTCAACAGCCTTACCTTCTTCTGTTTTTGTTGAGTGCACATCAAGTAATTGTGCTGCTCAACTATCAAGTCTCAAGTTTTCTCTCGTGAAGCAGTGCAGGGGAAATACACAAAATCATCCCACAGTTTTGCATGTGTCTTATTGCAGAGCAGTTGCCTGTTTGATTAGTCATTTTGTATGTCATTTAATGGCAGAACAAGAGCTGTTGTGTACTCTGCTCGATATTGATATAACTGCCATTCATTCACAGTCTTATTCACACATGTTAATCTTTGCCTATCAAACTTCAGTGTTGTCACAGTTCTCCAAAAAAAATATTTAAATTAAATAAAATTGATATTGTATATGACAGTGTCATGTGTATTATCTGCTTGGTCCACTTTTTGAAGCAGTATGTTTATATGATCGAATGGAAATGTGTTCTCTGTAGTGACTTGCAAGTGGAGCATAAGCAGTTTGTGAAAGAGGGAAACAAATCTGTTTACTGTGAGCAGTAGGAAAGAGTGCATTTTCTAGCTAGAGTTGCTCAATGAAGAGTAAATGACCCCACACACTGTGTTTATTGTTTGACCTTGCTTAAAAATGTTTGATTCAGGCCTTTGTTGGGTACATAGTCTACTACATGCATAAGTTATTAAATGGGTATAAAAAATATACACTGCATGGGGTCATTATTTCAGAAAACACAGGCCTCTATCATCATGTCGGTTTTTCGAAGTTTTGTTTACCACACTAAATCTATCATCTTTTAATAGAGGTGATGACATTTTTTGAAAAGGTGCTCAACGGGCACAGTCAACAGCAAAACTACAGATCCTTATAACTGAGAAATTCTCCTTTAATTGAACAGGTTACAGGTTTTGTCAGAAAATAACAACTTGTTCAGTCTATAGATTCTCCACAACACATGGCCTCAAGGCCTCAAAGGTGCTCTGCTCATACATTTCAATCATTAAGTAGATCTGGGTGAAGAAATAACTTTGGTAGCCAACAGAGTACAATTAGAAGTCTACCCACACTTCATTAAAAAACCCTTGAAGCATCTTCCAGACAGTTTTATTCTTACTTTGCTGCAGACAGTGTGTGTAGTTTTAATATTTTGACGTAATTAACTGTTATCAGAAACTATACGGCATTACCAAACCTGTATTGCTGCTTAATAACTGCATCAGTGAACCGTGACACTTGTTGACAGGGCCAAAAGAGCATATGATTGTACCGGAAATCAAACCTGAGCAGTGTTTGTATGCTGCCTAAAGGACCACGACCATGGCTGGATTATCCCACTAGGGGGCCCCAGGCATAAACCTACTCAGCCCCCAACTTTGCCAGTGATCAGCACCTTTCACTTTGTACAGTGTGCATAGATGTAAGTAAAGTTGTCAGACCTTGTTTGTACAGCATCTGAAAATTACATGATAGTCAGTCCTGTTTCTCTCATGGGCCAGTGACTTTGCCTAAACTTTACATGCTAGGGCCATAGTCATGTATGGCATTTATCAAAGCCCCGACCATTGCAGTTGATGTTGAGCAGTCGGAAATACCAGTTCTGCACTATTACTTTGAATACCAACCACTTAGAAAGGGGAGTGGACAGAGGAATGTCAGATTTCTTTGAATGCATTTGAAGGCTGATCCATCCACCTCTGGCCTTTTGTAATATCACTGTCATGTAGTCTGAGTCTGAGTGGTACTACCAGGCTATAATAATCAAGTAGCACATGCATACTGAGGTTAGCCAACAATGTATGAGATAGACACACATTCTCATTATCCAATAACAAAAATGAAAGATATTTCATTTTACCATTTTCCAGTGACTCAGAAGTAATCTTTCCATATATGCTAGACCCTCCATTCACACACTCCCAGTGTGCTGTGTTGCACCTTTTAAGCAGAGACATTACTGGTAGTTTAGCAGTCAGCAAATACTCTTTCAAATCAAAGTAAATCTCATTACATGCATTTGCAGTGTATTACCTCTGCATGTATTGTATATACACATGTGCATGTGTGTATGTCTGCATGTAGTTTTCTGCTTAATGTGTGTTTTATGTTTATGAATAATGACCTGTTCTGATGTCTGTGAAATGTGTCATGTTGTATTGGTGATAATGCAAAATAAGTTAAATTTGGTTGTATGATTTTTAATGATTTGACTTGGAAATGCTGATAAATCGCTACAGAAGTAGAGTTTTTGGTATGGCGGCATGTATTCCCCTCTAACTACTTATGCCCAATCTGTCTTTTAATTCCTTGCATGATCAGATAAAATTGGCACTGCATATTTGGAAATACTATGTGATCTAAAGGACCAGTTTTCAGCCATGCTAGCAGCGTGGCTCTAGGGATGGCAGTGACGGTCTGTCAGTCAGTTCACCACTCTGGTCCAGATTTCAATAGCTCAACAATAAGCAGTTTCCTATTGTGCCACCAGACAGCTGATTGTGATTTCAAGGGGAAATTTCTTGATGAAGTTTTGGATGGACTGTGATAAAAATTAAATTAGCATAGAAGGAACTCCTAGGACAAATTCATTCAAGCATGACCCCTGTAAGTGGCAAAAAAGACACTAAAATTTCAAAGGTGCAAAGGGAGAGGTCACAGGATTGCCTAAATCACAGGGAGTAATGGAGAGATAACGACCTAAATGACTATATGCATTGAATTGATTTAGCTGCAGAGTGGTGCACGTTTGAACAGATATATTATAATTATTCATTATAATACTTGTCATTATAATTTTAATATTATTGTAATTTTGAAATTGAAAGTAACACTTGACAACAGTATTTATTGTTTAATAATAACATTTATATTTTAGGCCTTTACCTTACCCGGACTTTCAGTATATAGGCCTACATGAGATGATGAACCCAAACCCTTCATGAACATGTGAATACCCTCAGTTCCTGTTGGGCTCACACCACCTTGCAGACTTTCCTCTCAGGACATTTTTTCCTTTTCATGTCCATGGTCAGGTTGATCTTTCTTGAAGTTATACTGGAATAGATCACTGTGTGTCTCACCGTGGCTGTTGGATCATCATCAACCAGATAATCTGTTCTCTCACTAGTAAAAGGTTTTCTCCATATTTCTGACCTTACCATCTTGGGAGCAGCCAAGATAATAAGCAAACAATACAAAAAAACTTATGCACCTATTGCATGTTTTAATTAATTGCAAGTGGAAGCACATAATCAATTAAAACAGTGAAAAAAAAAAAAGAAATAAACTACTACTTCTACAACTATTAGTAACTTCTACTGTCATTATTGTTAAATTACACCAACCCATTATCACTCATATGCCTGCACATTCATTTATTTGCGACTCTCTAGCTTTTTTTCCCCCTAAAACATCATCTCCCATAATTCTTTGGCCAACTATGATGACGTCATAGGTAGGCGACCACATTACAGTACAATGCCGGGGGGGGGCTACGAAGATTTAGCTCAACAACTTTTATCCAAATAGTTTGGTAGCTATAGGAAAAAAAATAATTAACGCCTGTATATTATTATAGCTTCTATAAGTAGCAATTTAAAGTGATAACAAGTGAATTGCTGCTTCATAACTGAACAAACGTACGGTTAGCACTATTAGCTAATAGCTTGCATGTACAGTAGCATGTGTGGTGGTCACTTTTGTTTATGTTTTTGAGCTGCTTGTCTTTAACCTGTTAGCTTTAGCAATTAGTTGTTTTTTTTTAACAGTGACTTAAACATCAAGACTCATTTTAAAATGTTCGTTGTTGCGCATGTTAGGCCTGGTTATTGTGTGTTATATTATTTACCATTTATACTGTATCAGTTCTGAGTTGTAGAAGTTTGTCTTACCTGGAAATGAAATGTACACGTTGTGTTTGTTAGAGTCTGTGTTTAGGGTTTGATATTATTGATAAAATCAAAAATGAAGATTCATGCCATCTTTTTTATGCAAATATAGTGGTCAGGCAGGTAGAGGCATTGCTCACTGTTACTTTCTCTCAACTAGAAATGACTACATCACTAAATTAAACCAAGAATTAGGATAGATATTAGATGACATATCATTTAGCTCTACCTGCCATGGTTGACAGGCTATTTGTGCTACCTAAAAATGAATGTTATAGTGCCGTGTGTGCAGTAGAAACGAACAATTAAAAAAACTGTCTGCAAGTTGTAACACACAGTTATCACTTTCCTCTGCAGAGATCAACTCAAGAGAAGAAAGGATGCATCAGCTGTTCGTCCTAGTTTGGATCCTTTGGTTTCATTGACAGTCCCTGTGTTGAGCACAAGACAGGATGCCCTACCACTGTGTGGCCTTTGGATGTGGCAAAACCGCAGAAGATGGTGTGACACTGTTTAAATTCCCCAAGGACCCTGAGGAGTTTCGCAAATGGGAAAAGCAGGTCCAGCGCACCCGCACCCAGTGGGTCGCCACACCCAACTCCCACCTCTGCAGCGAGCATTTTGGCAAGGAGTACTTTGAGCCAAGACCACCCGCAGGGGCTCTGAAGCTGAAGCCAGGAGCTGCTCCTACAGTGTTCGTCCGTCCTCTGTGTTCCTCCTGCAGTGGAGTTGGCTGCAGTAACTGCCTGCCTGCTATCCAACGCCGGGGCATTACAGCTGAGCCAAGGGAGCGCAACATTAGTGTGAGTGGCCATTATCATGGGTCGGTAAAGGTCACCGAAGAGAAAGGCAGAGATCCTTCCACAGTTTTAAACAAGCCTCTTGGTTGCTCTCTTTTTTACCACTTTGTTTTTTGTCTCTTCACAGGCCGAACACAATGAACTGGCACCCACTCAGTTTGATGATACTGATGGAGGAGGCGACAAAGAACATGTGACAGGAAGAGTGGGAAGAGGGGAAAAAAACAAAGATGAACGACCAGGTGAGGTGCAGAAAAAGAAGAAGAAGGTTGAGAGCAATGTGTCAAACAAAATGTCACAAAATTATTTAAATGCCGTTTTTATACCATCATGTTAGTCAAAAGGGTTGATGGCACCTCTCCACAAATCACTTGAACCGATAAAAATCACATCTGTATAAGCTCAAGGAATGTTAATGAAGTTAGGTAATGTTTCATACAATATTTATTTACTTTTACAGTGGTGTGTGAGATGTGCGGCACCACCGGCAACATTAGCACCTTCTTTTCAAAGACCAAGCGTTTCTGCAGTATATCCTGCTCACGCTCCTATTCGTCAAACTCCAAGAAGTCCTCCATACTGGCACGTCTGCAGGTGAGGAAAAGATGTTAATGCACTGTATTTTGGAAATACATCACCAAATGACAGGTTTGTGTGTGGTGTTCGAAGAACCAAAAAACTGCGCTCTTGAAATTCTTAACCCCTAAAACTCCTGTTTGCACCTTTTGTTAACCAGCTTCATTGTTGGAAAAGTCATCGTTATTTCACAGGATCATATATTCACTCTGGGCCCTATAGGCTGCAACTAACAATTTCATTATTAATTAGCTTCTTTATTAATCAATTCACCTTGAATGTCAGGAAAATGTTAAAGATAATTTCCTAAAATTGTGATGTCTTCAATTTGCTTGACTTGACAAAATGCAAAGACGCAAAGAGCGTTGATTATCACAAAAGACCAAAAAGCAGCAAATGTTAATCTGAGAAGCTGGAACCAGCACTTGGTATTTGTGCTTGAAAAAATAACCCTCATCTGTCAACAATCAACAACATTTTATATATTTTAATTTACACATTGTGTAATTGCAAACGCGCGGTGGCGGTATTTAGCAAAAAGCTGTTAAGAGGTCGCTGCTGCAAAAGAAAGTGGGATGAGAAGAAGAAGAAGAAGACGACCGCGCTGGACTTGAAATCTTATCACCGACCTGTGGGTCTGTCCGCGGGCGTGTCTGACTCGCCTCAGTCTATAATTTACCGGAGATCTCCGCGTGCTCCGAACCGCTGAAATGGTTCACACGTGTTGCGTTGATACCTGCTGGAACACGAAACGGCCCGACCTCGTCTTCCATCGGTTTCCCCTCGGAGACTCGGAGAGACTGAGGCGCTGGCTGTTCGCTCTCAACATGGATGTAAACACTCCGCTGCACGTCCTCAACAAGCTGCACGTCTGCCAGAAACACTTCCAGTCCGAGGACTACTACAACACCCTGGATCAGAAGAGCCGCCGGGCCCGGCTGCTCAAGACCACCGCCGTCCCCACCCAGTTCAGACACACACACACCTCAGAGACAGGTGACCCCGCTCCAAGTGATGTGTATCTGGATGACCTGGTAAGTTAGTTACAGGCGGTTTAATGAGGGGGTCGACTTCTTGATTGAAAACCATTAATTGATTCAGTAACTTTATCAATGAAGTTGGATAAAATAAAAGATGGGTATATAACACTAAACCTAAAAAAATGTATGAATTTGTCCTAAGCCTGTTGAAGCTGAATATTAGATCAGAGCAACAATATGGTGTTTAGATTTTTTTCATTTGTAGGTTTAATGGAACTGTGTTAATTATGTAAAAATACATGTAGAAAATAAGATTTTATTGGTCATTTTGTTGTGCAAAAAATACGAACAAGAGCTGAAAGGGTTAATCAATTAGTAGGTTTGATTGAAAATTTATTTGGCAGCCCTTTTTAGAATCAATGAATCATTTAAGTCATGTTTTGCAAAAGTGACAACTCGCTGGTTTCAGCTTCTCAGATGTGAGTATTTGCTGGTTTCAGGTAAATATGTCTGAGGTTTGAACGTCAGGACTAAACAAGCTGGTCTGGCAAAGCTTGACGGACGTTTTTTTTTTTTTTGCTGCTGTCTGACATTATACAGACAAAACAATAAGCCAATTGATCAATAATGAAAACTATTAATTACAGCTTGAGTCCCAGGGCTTTTCATGGGACTGTAGTTGTAATTCTGTGTGTGTGTGTGTGTTTTGTCTCTTGCCGGTAAGACTGTAAATATGGGATTGTATATATTGTTCCCATTCTTGTGAAAACTGCAGTAAAAGAAAAAGAATTTAATTAATCTCATGAAATATTTTGACAAATGTGGAAGTGAAAGTATTTGTGTGCACAGGTGAAGTCGGTTCCTTTCTTCTCTTTGCATATCAGGAAGTCTGAGCCGAATCTGTCGGACTCCCCAGAGAGATTTCACCTTGGACAGCTGTTTTTGTATCATGACTTACTTACTGTAGTTTCACACAGTATATATTCAGTTTTAAAAAAGAATAATCCAATGGCCGTTTGTGTCGGTCGCTTCAGTTGTTGGGTGGACACAACGATGAGAAAGTGGCGTGACGACTTGGTGCAATCTTTCTTTGTGCTCTCCTCTCCGCAGGGAAGGCCCCCCACAAAAAAAGCTACAGTGCTGAACAAGGTGAACAAAGCCCCTCCAACCACAACAGGACTAGACGGTAAGGGCGCCGATCACTCTCTCTCTCACACACACACACACACAGACACACACATATGCGCAAACACTGAACAAGATCTTACTTCAGCTGTGTGATTCCTCTGCTCTTTCCACCCCCGGTGCTCCAGGTTTCGAGTGGGGCGCTTACTTGGAGAGGGAGACGTCACTGGCTGCGTCCGTCTCCTGCTTCAGACATGTGAGTCCTGTGCAATTACAAACTGTTTTCTTCACCCACCGATGGCGAAAGCGCAGCTCTCCAATGTTGGTGCAGTATTCAGCATCTTGAAACTGAACTAGTAGGATGAGAGAAAAGGTGAAAGGAAAAAAAACCTTCAGGATTTACACGCTGTTTCTTGCAGCTGTGGTCGGGAGGAGAACATCCATCATATTGGAGGTGACGCCTCAAGAAATAAGACCTTTTTAATGTCGCTGAGAATAACTTTGAAGGTGGAGAACATGAAACACGTCACACCGACGATCTGTAAAGAAATGTCTGACCCTCCGTTCTGCAGGCTCCTCTGTGTGCACAGTGGGACGACATCGCTGTTGGGATGAAGGTGGAAGTCCTGAACACTAACGCCGTCCTGCCCAGTAAAGTCTACTGGATCGCTACCGTTATCCAGGTCGCAGGTGTGCACGTCTTTATTGAGATTATGAATTCGACCGTTTTATTTTCCGATTCTCTGTAACAGAAACGGTAACTTTACTCCTCCTCTTCCTCCCCTGCCCTCCGTTGTCTCTAGGATACAAAGCTCTGTTGCGATATGAAGGCTTCGAGCACGACAGCAGCCACGATTTCTGGTGCAGCCTCGTTTCAGGAGAGCTGAAGCCGATTGGATGGTGTGCCATGACGAGCAAGCTGCTGGTGCCGCCACAAGGTGAGGATTCGCCGTGCGGACACAGAACTTCCTGTGCTGGTTGATATATTAACAATAGGGTGTGTTCTCATTTGGAAAAATTGTGTGTGTGTGTGTTCATAGATGTGAAGCAGAACATACCAGATTGGAAAGAGTATCTGATGAAAAAGCTGGTGGGCGCCAACACTCTACCCGTCGATTTCTACTTGAAGGTAAAACCGACGCTGCCCCGACACGGTGACACGTCTCTGCTGTTGTAAAGAATGATAAATATTTCAATTCTTACTGGTTTAATTAAACGCATAACCAGCATCTCTGTGACGTTGCCAACCTCCTCGTGTCCCTTTGCCAGCTGGCAGAGAACATGAGGACCTCTTTCCGAATCGGCATGCGTGTGGAGGTGGTGGATCCCAGGCATGTGAGCCGGACCCGCGTGGCCATGATTGACACGATTATTGGCGGCCGTCTGCGGCTGGTGTACGCGGACCAAAGCGACGCCCCCGAGAACGCCACCTCTGATTTCTGGTGCCACATGTGGAGCCCCCTCCTGCACCCGTTAGGCTGGTCTGTGAAAGTGGGCCATGCCATTAAGGCGCCTGGTAAGTCGAGGATTTAGTTTATCACGGAAAAACACACAGAAGACGACACGGGTGGCAGAACAGAAACAAACAGAAACATGCTTGAAGAGAAATAGAGTTGGATATGAGTTTATTCACAGTAGTAAATCTGTGCTATTATATATCTGTGCAACCAGAGGAAGGAATATTTTTCAACTGAAAGAAATTATGTCACTCAAACTAAAGCTTAAAACTTTTAGATTTTCTTATCTTACAATAAATACAAAGGATTTCCTTCTTTTCTTTTTTCTAGCAAACTCTGTGGAAAGTAGTGGTTTGAGGGGGAACTCTGACAGTTCATTCCTTCTCTTTAAAAAGGTAAGAAAAATGTTATTGCTTAAGAAATAGTTCAAAAAAGCAACAACTGCTTTTCATTCTAACTTTTTTTTGTTATATGTGATAATTTTTTGTTGTTTTAGATTCACGACTCAGTTTCTACTGTCTCCTGTTGTAATGTTCACGTCTTTGTAGTTTGTGCGTCACTCCAGACTCCTACAACAAGTAGCGCGATAAGTTTTAAAAACATGGAAGGGAAAGGTTAAAGGAATAATATGAACACTTATTATTATTATTATGAACTCTGTGTTTTGGTCACAGCTCAATATTCAATGACAGTAGAAATGAGTGATGGTAAATTCTCTGGCGGTCGCTGATGTGTCTCTTGTCAACCACTGTGTGATCCGCAGCCCAGGGTCGTTTACATGGAGGGAAGTTTCTTTGAAGAAGGAATGAAGCTGGAGGCCATTGACCCTCTCAACCTGGGAAGTATCTGTGTGGCCACTGTACACAAGGTAGGATTTTTGGTCTGATCTGTTTAAACAGTCGGGTGGTTATGAGTTAAATTACATCTTATATCGTTATCCCCCCCATCCCCCCCTCCCTCCACCTCTCCAGGTGCTGTTAGATGGCTACCTGATGGTCGGTATCGACGGCACGATATCTAACAACGGCTCCGACTGGTTTTGTTACCACGCGTCCTCTCACGCCGTCCTTCCTGTGGACTTCTGTAAAAAGAACAACATCCCTCTCACTGTACCTCAAGGTGAATACAAACACACCTACGTGTTGCATTTCTACACACACTGCTCCTTTCAGGCAGTGATGCAGCTCGCACTTAGTCACACTTAATGAATGTCTCTGCTTTCCCGGCAGGTTATGACTCTCAGACCTTCACCTGGGACAAATACCTGAAGGAGACCAAAGCTAAAGCTGCACCGGCACGACTGTTCAACACTGTAAGACAGGAAGTCCAAACCTAGTGTGGCATTTTTTATTATTATTGTCGTTCTAATCGCACCCACAGTTCGCCTTAGCCACAACTTCAACATGTGAACCCAGCTGTAAAAGTAAACGCCCAAATACCAGGGGTGCGATCCTTCTTTTAGTTCAATACTACACGATACGTCTTTCCTCAGGACTACCAGGGTCACGGCCTCTCCGCCAACATGAAGCTGGAGGCAGTGGACCTGATGGAGCCACGGCTGGTCTGCGTGGCCACCGTGAAGCGCTGCGTGGGCCGTCTGCTGCTCATCCACTTCGACGGCTGGGAGGATGAGTTCGACCAGTGGGTCGACCACTGGTCCCCGGACATCTACCCCGTGGGCTGGTGTGAGCTGATGGGCTACCAGCTCCAGCCGCCTCCTGGTCTCGGTAATCTTCTTATTTTAATAGAAAAACTCTTGTACTACAAGATGTAGAGTGAGTGTCAGTGCAGAGGGTTAATCCACCTAAGACATTTTAGTTTTGTTTGAATTTTAATTCAGATTGAACTCCATTTAAATGCAGAAAACAACCTAACCTCCAGCATACCACAATCACAGACAGGAGCAGCTGATGGTGCTTTACAGTAGAGATATTTTTGATGATATATTTAAAAGTGACAGATGTTTTATTCTGTTTTCCAGTAGATTTAATCACAAACCAGGTGGCACGGAACAAGAAGTGCAAGCCCTTTGTATACGGGAAAAAGAGTACGTTTTGTCTCAGAAATGTACATCTGTGATCTCGTGTTTTTTGTTGTTTTTTTTCTCTCTCATTTCAGGGTTATGAAAAATGATTCCTTCAACCTCTCGTTTTGCTTTCTATAGGGAAGAGGAGTGCAAAGAAGAGGCTCTCCGATGAGCAAGCTAAAGATGATGCGGGTCAGCAGCTTGAGGTCGTTGGCACTACGAGTCCCACAGAAGTGGTAGATCTCAGTCTCCCTCCAAAGGTGCCACTCCTCCAGCCCAAGACTGAGCCGGAGGAGCAGGAGAGTAAGTGGACAAACTCATACAACATGCTCTTCACTTTCTTCTCATTTTAGCGAGACAGTGTCAGGTACATGTCTGACTTTATTCTGTCTTCGTAGTCTTTGCGGTGCAGGTGAAAGTGGAAGAGGTGGAAATGGAGACTCCCATTGATCCTCCGGGAAGCCCTCGACAAGCCTGCGTGGGTGTAATCAAACAGGAGGAGGGAGGGGAGCAGAGTAAGTCAGGACGACACGAGGTGCCGGAGCAGACCTGCACGGAGAACGTAGAGCATGAAAAGACAGAAAAAGATAAAGCCGCAACAAAAGACGGACTTGAAGAGTGGGGGTCTCTGGAGGAGAGCCTTACTGGCGAAAGCAACGTGGAGCGGAGTGAGAACGAACGACGAACACGGGACCAAGAGGACGGGAGCCAAGGAAATGACTCTGCCATGGATGAAGCGCTGGAGAGTAATACTGAGCAGGAGAGGGCGGAGGAGAGGAGAGATGAGACGAGCGTGGAAAAGGTGGCGGTGCAAGGAGACTGAGATGAGGGGAGTAAAATAAAGCCGATGTGGCAGTAAGAGACAGAAACAGGCTGAGGTTTTATTCAGGGCGAGTAATAAAGTTACATTAGTAAGGAGAGCTGGTGCATCTTTGAAACTCTGGTGGTTTGAAGTAATACGCCTTAAGACTTCAGTCTTTGTTGATGTGATGTGGTTGCCGGTGGTGACCAGGTTGGTTTTAGACTACAGGTGGGAATCGCACACTCCACCGCTTACAATGAAAGCCACTGTTTAAAGGGGTTATTCCAGCATGTAAATACTAGAATGACTATTACAGAAAATTACAGACCATAAATGGTATAAAAAGGTCTTATTCCATAAAATCATTAAGGGTCATAACTTTAAATGTTTTATTTACATTAAACTCACGACTGCACATAGTTTGTAAGGAGTTTAGCCAGTTTTAAAACTACCTCACTTTTCCCTGTTGGTTCCACTACACACTGATGCTTTGTGTGCAGAAGTGGCAACTTTGGACTTGTCTCGTTTTAGTTGAGCTGACCTTCACTCATCACGCTGAGTCTTGAAATATGACTCTGAAGTGTTTCATTGTTTTGGGTTGTAATGACACAGCAGACAAGTATTTCTTGTAATGTTTTATTTTTTCCTGTTTTATATCCAAATGTATCCTTTTCTTTTTTGTAAATATGTTATTGCTGATAAAAAATAGTTTCCTCCATTTACTGATTAGACGTTTTGTCTTAAATTATCTTTACAACTGGGACTTGAGGTTATGATGTAGTGGTTAAAGGATAACTAGCAAGAAGCCAAAGTGTTTTATCATTTCTAATCAAGTAACGGCAGGGTTTGCATTTGTTCTAATGACATTCACCTCGTTTACGTCCTTCAAGATGCTAAAACCTCCAGCAGAGCTAAAAGCCTTTGGTCGAACCAGCATGATCTTCACTGCGAATGTGAATCTTACGTTTGAAACAAGGCAGTGCTGACACAGAGCATGTGTGCTCGGTCTAGGTTCCCTGAATTTAAAAAAAAAAAACAAAAAAAACAACTGATTTTGACCTTTTTACAAAGATAAGACAGGGAAGAGGAAATACTGCAGAAAAAGAAATTCAGTACAGTGTTGAATGAAAACTGACGGCACGGCCTCAGCAGCTACAGCTTTCATAGCCGACAAAGGTTACAGCTTTTGAGTCATTTCAATCCAATGTTTAACCCTCAAATCTAACTGACTATGGCCAGTTACTGTGAGCTGTGGTCTACAACAATCAGCACAGAAGCCCAGACGAACCTCCAGAGGCAGCAGGTTCAAGCCATGCTGCGTCTCTTGGTTTTCTTGGCTGCTGCCTGTTTGGTGTTTGGACTCTTGCGAAGTTTGGATTTGGCTTGGAGCATTTTGACATGCCTAAGGCCGTTGAGGTGCATTGGTTTGGGTTTGGTGGCCTTGGGTGCCTTAGCGGACTTTGGGGTGACCGTAGGGGCGGAGGGGAGGCTCTCTCCCCCGGGGCAGGCTTTGAAGATGTGGACATCCTTGACCCTGCGACCCCTCAGCTCAGGGGGATTGGCACAGGTGGCTCGTACCTTCAGGTTGACTTTCTCAATCCACCTAGATGAAGAGGAAAGGCCGAATTTATTAAAAATGCCAAGACATAGGCATCCATGTGGCCTCATAGTTGGGGCCACAGAGCTCATGGTTTGACTCCTAGCTGGAGGACCGTTGTTGCGTGTCCTAACCCTCTGTGCTCTCTCAAAGCTGACTGTTCAATAAAGATAAAAAGAAAAATTTTAACAATGTCATTGTTGCTAGTTGCTAAAACAAGGCCGCAGCTGCAACTCTGAGTGGAGTATAATCAAATATTTGTGTCACTGGGTTATTAGAAACTCATTATCATAGATGTAAAACATGCTCTGTCCTCTAACGAGCTGCAGACACAGCCTAAGGAAAATGTTCAGGCTTTAGAAATTCATGTCGGTCAAACCCCAATCATTTCCACCCGAGCGCCGTGTGCTGTAATTGTCTTACAAGCGTAGTGGCAGCAGAGGGCAGTCACACATCAGGGGATTGTCAGCCAGGTTGATGACCTCCAAAGAAGTGAGAGGGTGGAGGTCAGGCACCTCCTCCAACTGGTTACCCTCCAGGAAGAGACTTCTCAGCCCCGGACCCAGGCCTGCCAGAGAGTTCTGCGACATCTGGAGTGCGAGAGTGATTATCAGGAATTTGATGAAATAAAAAAGGGAAGGGTTTGAAGAGACAGATCTGGGTAAACAGAGAAGTACCCCTCACCTTCTCCAGTCCCATGTTATCCAGGTAGAGCTCCTTCAGCGACCTCTCCAGTGGTCGAAAAGCATTTGGCCCCACCCAGCGAACTGAATTCCTGGACAGCCTCAGGTCTCTGAGGTTCCCCACTTTACTCAGCGCGTCCGTGGGCACATCCTTCAGCTTGTTCCCTCCCAGGTGGAGCGTATCGAGGTCACTGGCGTGGTCCAGAGCTCTGGGCGACACGTGATCGATGGCGTTCCCAGTGAGGTAGAGCGCTCTGAGACCCTCGGCCCCGGTCAAGATGCCCGGCTCCAACTTAGTAATAGCGTTGTTCTCCAAGTGGAGCGCGAGCAGGCTGGGCACAAGTTTGAAGGCTCCCTTGGGGAAGCCGGTGAAGCGGTTTTTCTCCAGGTGGAGGTAAGTCAGTTGAGGGAGACCTGTGGAGTCAGACAACAGGAAGTCAGTGTGGATATTGAGCCGTAAACGAGTCAGGGTGATGCGACAAAGAGCTGTGCAACAAAGACCTTTAAAGGCATCGGGGCTGAGGGACGTGAGGTCGTTCTCTGACAGGTACAGGTAGATCAGACCCTTCATCCCAGTGAAAGCACCGTCTTCCACCTCCACGATTTTGCAGCGCTGCAAGTGCAAGGACACAACCTGGGGGACACCGGGGAAGCTGTTGCTAGGGATGTAGTGGAACTGGTTGCCACGCAGGTCGAGGAGGCGCGTGTTGGCAGCGAAACCCCGAGGAACTTTGGTGTGACTGCGGTTTTCACACGAAGAATGGTGCGTCTCGGCCTGGAGACAGGGAGGTAATGTGGATGTAGAGGACGGGGGGACAAAGACACACACTGCCAACACTTATCATGTATTCTTGTCCACTCTCTTTTTAATACAGACACACTCAGTTCTTCTGTCGCTACCAAACTGTAGTTTCTGTAGTGTTTCTGTGCCCAATTTTCTATAATCATATTTCTTTTTTCAGTAATCACCTCACCTCACAGACACAGTTGGCAGGACACTTGACTTTGTTCTGGGGCTCTTCAGTGGGCGGTGGTGCGAGTCTGGTCGCCTCCTCGAACTCCGCCTTCAGCATGGCCTCCTGGCTCTGGCAGCGCAGCTCTGGAGGGTGTACGGCCTCCAGGTTTTCTCCAGAGAGATGAGCCGGTCCTCCGCATGTCCCCATCAGCTTCACCTTGCTACGGATAGACCACTCCCTGCAGTGCAGTAAAGGAGAAGGGATAAGTCCCCTGTAGCTAACAGAATGGTTCATAGTCTACGAAGGTCTGCTGTACCTGAGCGGACGCAGGTAGCAGTTACAGTAGATGGGGTTCCCAGCCAGGTTGAGGCGTGCCACCTTGGGCGAACCTTCAGAGAGGGGCTGAATGACACGCAGCTGGTTGTAGCTGATGTCCAGGTGGGTGAGGCTGGGGGATTTCAAAACAGCGGTGTTGGCCATGTCCTGCAGGGACATGTGGTCCAGGAAGAGGTGGGTGAGCTTGGCCATGGACACCGCCTCTTCCCCGAGGTAAGTCATGGGGTTATAGCTCAGTTCCAGACGAGTCACCTCCGGCAGTCTGGGTAGCAAGAGGGAGAAGTGTGGAAAAATAATTTTAATTAATTAGTTTACTAGTATTTATTAGTTAATCTTAACTTTTTTTTTTACCCACGCCAGCTGCACGGTTATCTTTATATCTCATATCTCAACAACTGTTGGATGGGCTGCTGTGAAATGTGGTAAAATCAGTCAGAGGACGAAGCTTCTGGCGGGTCTGGTCATCGATCAGCCCAAAAGGTCACAAGTCACTCCACTACTCATCGACCTACACCGGCTCCCCATGGCCACCCGAATCAACATCAAGCCAGTGATGCGGAGCTTCTGAGTCTGCGCCCATCTACTTGAACTCAATCATAAGAGGCTTAAGCTCCTTCTCGCCCACTGTGTTCCTCCTCCTCCAAGGAATGTCGTCTGGCATTGCCACCGCTGCTAAACAAGGTAATCTCAGTCCAGACTGTTCTGGCACCTCCTCTCCTAAAATCCTTTAACAGCCTAACATGTCTAACTAGCTCTTACTGTGCACCTCTTCACCTGATCTCCTTGCACTTATTTAATAGATGTAAGCACTGCAGTACTTGCAAATGGTTTCCTACTGCACTGAAGCTTTAGTGATGTCGTTCACTTGCAAGTCGCTTTGGATAAATGAGAAAATGTAATGTTTCTCTTTAAACCATTTCTCATCAGATATAGTTTCCTGGTGATTGGCAGCTCTGTGGCAAACTCTATGCAGATGTCAAAGCTTACCAAGTAGCCTACCTGGTCATGGTCTCAGAGGGAAAGAACTGCAGCTCGTTGTGGTCCAGACTGAGGCGGGTGAGTGTGAACAGACCGGCGAAGGCCTCGGTGTCCAGGTAGTTCAGAGAGTTGTGACTGAGACGAAGCCATTTGATATTCTGCAGACCCTGGAGAGGGAGAAGAGATCGGCTGTTAAATCAATGTTTCCAACAACAAGGAGACGTTTAAACTCCGGAAGGGTCTCTTGCGGACGTTGTTGTGTTTGCACCTGGAAGGCCAAGTTGGGGATGTAGACCAGCCGATTGTGCGTGATGGAGAGCAGGTTGAGGAAGCCCAGCTGAGAGAAAGCTCCGGGCTGGATCTCCTCCACGCGGTTGCGGTCGATCATAAGCTGCTTCAGGGAGGACAGACCGTCAAACGACTCCTGCACTCACAGAAGACAGAGAGAGAGGGGAAATGTTTTTATCCTACTCCAGTCAAAGTTTCTGAGCAAAGAATGCAAAAAAAAAATAAAGGTTTAACTTTTTTTTGGGATGTATAATTTGTAGTTTGTGAGCACCTGGTAGAGGATCTCGATGTTGTTGTTGGCCAGGTTGAGGAAGACCAAGCGGCCGAGGCCGCGGAAAGCCCCCTCCTTCACCCTGCGGATGTTGCAGCGCTGCAGCGACAGGTGAGTCAGGTAAGGAGTGTGTTTGAAAGCCCCGGTGGGAAGCTCCTGGATGTCGTTACCTCGGAGATCCAATTTCACTGTGATCTATCGTGAAAAGGGGATTACGTATTAGACGGAACAAGATGTGGAACTAAACTTAATGTAGAAACTGTGTGTGTGTGTATAAGAAACCTCATCAACAGTGGGAGGAACTTGGGTCAGGTTCTTGTTGACGCAGGTCACAGTGAGCTGGATCTGGTCACACACGCACTGCTGTGGACATTTAGCCGTGTGCGCTGCAGGGATGCCGAGGAGCAGCAGGCCGAGCAGTGGGACCCAGAGGGCGTCAGGACAGAGATGGAAGTACATCTGAGAGGGAGAGGCGTGGTCAATAATATTTACTGAGGCGTCAGATTTGTCCATTAGCCAACAAGTGGCTGCTGTTTTGATTTTTTTTAGATGTGAGGTATCCTAATACATCCACCACTCACCCGTTCATTCATTCACTTACGCACAGTTTACCCAGGGAAATGCCTTGAGAGAAAACACTGAATCAAGATCATTCATCACTCACTCCTCTGCTGAACTGTTTACAGTGTTTCACATCTTTAACTTTACCTGTAATGTTAAATAACTTCTATAAACTCTCCAGACCTTTAAACCAGTTGTCCTGTCTCATATGAACAGACCTCATACATCACAGAACTTACATTAGTGTAATACACCACAACGACCTCAGACTTTCCGGCTCAAAGTTGTTTAAGATATATTCCCTGTACTTTACGTATTGCCATTTTATTCTACTTTACACTTCAACTCCACCACATTTAACAGGGAAATAGTGTTTTTACTCTTTTTTTCTGTGACTCATACAATAAGCTTAAAGAATATGATGCATTGTTAAAGATTATAATCTTTCTGTCCCCCTCAGGTGTCTATAACCCATATCTGTCGCCTTTTGTTCAGGAACCACTGGACTGAACTTCAAACTGAATTAAAATTTACAGTAAAATGACGCTTACAGACTGATGCATAAATCTAATAATGTCATGTATAATAATAGATCAGTCACAGAGGGAAATTTCTTGCAGAGTGAGTACTTTTACTTTGGTTGCTTTTAGCTGATAATACTTCAATACTTTTACTTACATAGGATCTTAAATGTAGGACATTGTTATTGAGTATTTTTACAGAGTGGTGTTGATAATTTATTGAAGTAAAAAGATGCTTCTTTCACCACTAATGTCACTGTCTACAGCATCCTATTCATTTTAGGAAGAATGTGTGCTCATACAGGTAAAATCAAAATGTAAAACTGATCCCATTTTTAGAACCAACCAGGTGCCTTTATTGTGAGAAACATACAGACCTGTGATTCAGGTTTTTGTTCTGTGAAGCTAAAATGATGTACAGGAGAGGATTTATCAATTACCACAACCTCTACATTTCCTTACTGAAGCTCCTTGATGAAAAATGTCTCCATCCTTCTGTACTTTTGGGGATTAGTGTGGTGTTGGTCAGACCGGGCTGCCCAAGTCTTCACTGGAATGCCTTAAAACCACATTCCCATGTGGGATCAACAGTCTTGATCCACAGGAATGGACACAAAAAGCTTCACAGCTCCACACTCTGAAATTTCTCTAAATGTTGACAAAACGGCACCATGCCTAAAAAACTGCTGTCAAAACTGCTGCACCAAATCCTGTCAGAGATGGACCGGACAGACACCCAAGGCTGCACAGAAAACACTAATAAATTATAAAGAAAAACTCATTTAATGTTCATTTGAAGTCAGCTCCAAGGTTGCACGCAGTATATACAGTATTTGAATGATATTTTACCAGCATACAATTATTTGTTCCTTCGACCCCCTGTGCAGAAAGGGGCCAAGAAACTAGAGACGGAGGAATTTCCTCTGGCCGGACTGTTTGTCCGCGTCCCCCCCGGGATCAACAGTCCAGACCGCAGAGGAGCTGCCGCGCCGGGCGGCACAAAGACGCACAGTGTCTTTCCCTGTCGATGTTGCACCAATCTGCGTTTCCTCTAAAAAAAAAAAAAGAAAAAAGTTGTCCTCTGGCCAGGGACGGTGAGAAGACTGTTCTCCGTCGGCTCTTTACGAGAAATTACTGCAACATTTTTCCTTTTTAAAATTTTTAAAATTTTTAATTTTTTTTGCATTTGGTTAATGTTGTTCTGTGGATAAACGAAGACGTTTCGGGAATAACAAAATCCTGAAATATTAGTATCTAATTTGGACAAAAGTCTGTCTTAAGTTTGTTCAGTTTCCGCACATAGTAATAATAAGAAAATATGACGATGAAAACAATGTGATAAAACTTGAATGCGGGTCCACATCATTGGATAATTGAGCATGTTAGTATTCACCGTTCAATATATCTGTTAACCGCTCGACTTGAATTTATATGTTTGAAATCACATGGTTTACAGTGAGACTCACCATGGTTCGGTCGCGGTTCCGTCCAGCTGCAGGTCGTTTACTCTCTCCGCTGACTCTCTCACGGTTTCTGCTCCGTCTGCGGCTCTTCCCCCGGCTGTCCCCCCATCCAAAACAAACTCCGTTTATCCCTTCATTCACTGACACTCCCCCCACACATACACCTCCAGCTCCCGCCTCTGGAGTCTGCACACCGCTCCTCTGAGCCTGTTAAAGGAAGAGTTCCTTCAAAATTCAGACTTATTGCTGTATAGATATTTCACCTCACCTTCATGCCTGTTGAAGCTCCATTCAATTTCTAAGCTTTCTTATTCTTCCCATATTTTCTTCTTTTTTTTTTTACTGTCCTCATCATTGATAGTTTTCATTAGAGTCATTGAAGAAAATGTAAATATGAAGTTAATATGTGACCTGGGGGAGATTCAGAGTCTCCTTGATAAATCCTCTAAGGACTCAAGACACTTGAAACTACTTATTACTGGACCATGGCGATTACTCAGCAAAAACACACACACATGCACACACAGAGTCAGGCTTGTTAGATTTGTTATATTTAAGACAGAGCATTCAGATTAACAACGTATCAGGTAAACAAACATTACCCTGACAATGTAAATGCAGTCCACACACAGTCTAATGTTATTGAGAATATTATCTAAATGCCATTTAAGTGTATTCTATTCTCATCTTTTTTCCCTTAAAAGCTCCATCACATCACCAACACATCAACGGCTACATAAAGATAACAGTGAGGTAACACGCTGCAACTCAGTGTATGCAACAAAGTCATGGAAGAGGATATCTTCCCATACAATAGATTATGGATTGGAAAAAAAGAAAAGAAACATCAGGTAAAAGTGATTCTGGTCCCCTGAGCTCTGCAGTGTTATGACTGTGCTCAGTGCAGAGCAATACACACACATGCTGTGTATTCAGGTTCATGGGCGAGTGTGTGGTGCAGCCCATTCCTGATCACAGTCTGATGCACACAGTGCTCTGACTTGACTGGACCGCATGAGCAGCAGTATGGTGATTGTGATTGGACAGACTGTCCTCAAAGTTTTTCTTTTTTCCCTTCACCATGGAATTTTTCAAATAAGCAATGTCAAAAAATAACAACAAAACAGCATGTGAAGCAGCCTAGCACTAAAACGGAACAGTGAGGTCAGCTCTTTATCGCTGACTGATTTATTTTGATTTATAGAGTGTACGTTTTTTGTTCAGAATGATTCACACGTGTGGTCGTCTTGAACCTAAACATCTCTCAGCAAACCAAAGCCACTTTCTCAATGTAACAAACACCAGTTCATTTGAGATACAGGTTTAAAACAGGTTAAAAACCAGCAGATGTGAATTTGTGTTTATCAGAACTGTGACAACATCTATTGTCAAAGGTTTCTGTACAGTTTCTAAATTTATTAAGACCTGGAAATAACCTTAATCTGTTAAGACATTTACACCGCCGTGTAAGGACCCTGCTGAAATAGATGCACTGTTTTGTTATTTAGCCGTGAATTTTTAAACTGTAACTAAATACAAAGCAATATGTTGGAAAAAGTGCCAGACTGACATTGTCTAATGTTAGCTCCACTCACAGTTCATTTTTTACACATTAACCACTTGGTTATTAGATGTGTAGTTCTATATTTTTATTATTTGTATCTACATTTTCTATAAAAATATAAGTCACAAGCATAAGTAGAAAAATAAAGATTAAGTGATTATGGATAGTCTCTGTTATGCCTTCATAAAATATACAAATCAGGAGCAGAGATCAGTGGTTGTCTGAGTCCCTTGTTCAAGTGTAAAACATCCCTGTTGGTTTTGTTGATGAAAAACTGAATGTCAGTGCAGTGTGTGTGTGTGTGTGTGTGTGTGTGTGTGTGTGTGTGTGTGTGTGTGTGTGTGTGTGTCTGTGTGTGTGTGTGTGTGTGTGTGTGTGTGTGTGTGTCCCAGTGTTGGTACTGGCAGTGGCTGATCAGTGGGATCAGCGTTAGTCGTGGCACCTCATCTCCAGAGCAGAGCTCAGCCTCTCTCTGGCAGCACCGCAGGACTTGAAAGCTTCACTATTCCTGCAGATTCACACGCACGCACACACACACACACACACACACACGCTTAAAACCTCATAATCTCAACACTGCAACAGGTTACAAACTGTTCCACACCACATTTATGCTTAAACCGATCTTCACAGGTGTTCTTCACAAACACCACAGGTCAGATGTAATGAACCTTTAAAAGAACGATTTTCTTACTTGGACATGAAGGTGTGAAGCAGCGAGGCATGATGCTGGGGGAAGTAGTCCTGCTGGACAGCGTGTTCCAAACACAGCAGCTGGCCTGGGACCAATAACACCTTCTTCATCTTCCCCTCTCCCTGAAAAGCACAAAAGAAAAAGTAAAAACTTCAGCAAAACAAAAATCCAGCAATTTTGTTGTAAATCTTAAGCAACAGGGGAAAAGAAATCTGTAGCAGAAAGAAACTGGAATCACAGAATTTCTGCAGAAACTTGTACATGGACAGAATGGTTCAATAAAATCCTTCACATGCACATCGGATTCTGCAGCGAGGACTCAAGCAGAGTTTGTCTCAGGACACACATGCAAGCAAAGTCTCTATAACAGAGAAGGGAGATGCTGTGAGCTCCAGATTCGGCACAACATACGAAGGGGGATTTCTTAATCAAGACTTTGAACATATTATTACTCTTTATCTAGGCAGGAATCTGGATCTGACAGGATTCACATTTTTGGAAAGTGTTTTGTATCTCATAGTAAAAACTTAACAGTCTGCAATGTAGCAGACTGTAAAAGAGACCTACAGAGCCTAGACTACTTCGCTGTGTTACAGTCTAAAGATAATTTAAGTTACTGTGAGTGGAATTTTTATCTGATTTGAGTTTTTCTTCTTTAAAAAAAAAAGGCAACAATCCTCGAGCAATTGCTTCATCTCACTGATTCTGTGTCAGATTCTTGGAAGGCGAAGGGGCTGGGGGCACTGCAGCAGCACCGTACCTTGAGGACTCCCATCATGACCAGCAGCGTGGAGAGGAAGCAGTATGACTGGAGGGCGGGACCAGAGAGGAGCTTTTTGAACACATCATCTGTGGGACAAAGTGATAGAGGCCAGGGTCAAACGAGGCAGCAGAGGAAATTCTTTGTGTTGGATCCGTCAACACCAAAGAGATATTTGAACCGATGAGAGAGCAACAATGCACGCAGCAGCAAAACACTATTGTGTGTCGCAGCGCAGTCTTTTTCATGTGTGGTCAAATGTGATGAATTTCAGTTGGAGGTCAGTTGTATTCTGCTGTTACATATATAATGCAACATACTGTACAAGCATTGTTAAAATGTAAATATATAAAAAGTGAGAACATTGTCAAAAGGTAAAAGGTGAGTGACGGGAGTGTTTTATTCACCAATAGTTTCTAGAACTGCTGTCTTGGTCTCTGGTTCCTCACTGTACAAAGAAGCAATTTTCAGAAGGACTTCAGCCGCCTTGTCTGGGTCAGACGCATCAACCTGTCGAGAAAAGAGAAGAGCCTCAGCAATAGATTATATCACCTCTCTGCAAATAACCTGCTGGGACATTTTATACCAATTCAACAAAATAATAATAATAATAATAATAATAATAATAATAATAATTCCCACCTGTTGCGACAGGTTTGTCCTCATCTCTCCCAGCTGAAGAAGCTTCTCAACAGAGGGGCAGCTGAGGAAAGACATGACCTCTGCCTGTAGGTGCACACACACAGTCACAATCAGAAACACAGCAGGAAACCTGATTAATGTTCCAGTCAGTGCAATATGATTAAGTAAATGGTTGAACACATAATGAGTCATTTGTTACTGAAAAAGAAACCTTGACAGGAAAGTATGAAACTTTATTTTGAATCTATGAAATATGGATCTAAAATTATTTCATTACATCAAAATAATGTACAAGCTTTAAATTTATGCACATTATGACACTAGTTATTAGAAGAAAATAGACTCTGTACTGTATAACTATATACTGTTAGTTACTTACTGGGCTCTGAAGTTTCACAGGACTGTCTTCTTTTCTTGTCACTCCATTTTCCTTCACAATGTCTCCATCCTCTTCATTGTCTTCATTACAGTCGTCACTCACATCATCATCATTGTCGTCGTCGTCGTTTTCATTGTCATCGTCGTCTTCCTCATCTTCAGGTTCTCCCTCATCATCACTGCAGTGAATTCAAAAGGAACAAAACATTTGTTTGAATATTTGATCTATTGCTGGTGAACAACTGGAAAATAGCTTCAGGAGAGATCGATTACTTAACGTTACACAAACAGCGACGCGTATATTACCTGAGTGATGCCAGCACGTCTCCTTTATCCATGCTCTCCATGGCATCTCTCAAAGCCTCACAGCCTTCCTCTCCCAGACAGTTACCTATTAGAGTCATGTACAGATTAGTTTCAAGCTTAACTTTAGTATGAACTATTTCTTAGTCTATTTATACAACTTTCTTAGAACATTTCTACTTTTTAAAAACAAATTTTCAAACTGTATAATTTATTCAGGATTTTTCATGTAACTGCTACTTCTACAGCGACAGCAATTTCAGTTCCGCATTCAGCGTGCGCACCGTTCAGATCCACTTTCTCCATGTGAGGTTTGTCCATGACAGCCTGAGCCACCACTAGCGCAGCTGCCTCCGTGATCTCACCGAACGACAGATTCAGCTCCTGAAGACGAGGCGCATAAGAGAGCACTGTAATCGAGCTGGTGACAGAGCAAACACAAAGAGGCAGAAAATGCTGAACTTTGAGACTGAGCTCACCTTGAGGATCGGCAGTCCCTCTCTCAAGACTGCAGCGAGGGCGATGGCTCCTTCAGAACGGACCAGACAGTCGCCAAAGTTGATCACCTGGATGTTTCTCAGATGCTTCAGAGCCTGCGTGGCCAACAGAAGAAAACCATGTTCAGAAATATCAGCTTAAAACACAGACATACAAAAGTATTTTGTCTTATGGGGAAATGTCTGAAAACAAGGCCTTACCTGTGCCATGGCCAGTGTTCCCTTCTTGGTGAAAGTGTTGTCATTGAAGTTGAGGACGCGGAGCTCTGGGTTGTGTCGCATGGCTGAAGCTAACGCCATCACACCTTTATGGTTGATACCATTCTGGGGCATGTGGACTTCCTCCAGGCTGCCAATCAGCTTACAATGAAAAACAGAGACTCACTGTAATTACTCATTTGTTTACACTTATTACTAAAATGTACCCCTATATGTAACAGAATCTGGCAGCATTAATATCTCAAAATTTGGATGTCTAGTGTTTGTCCATGTATTAGAAGACCTGTCAATCAGTTTGGGAGGGTGTGTTTTCTACCTGAAAGGCCTTGGCCAGGGCACTGGCTCCTTCATTTTCCAGGCGGTTCCTCCCTGCAATGAACACTCTCAGTCTGAGTGGAGCTCCGTGGGCTGATGACTGTCTGTGACACTCAATCAGAGCTTCGGCCAAGATCTACACAAACCACTCACCACAGTTACTGGTTTATTCTAAATCTAGGACACTTTACAAACAAGTAACATTTGAAGTGTGCTGGTTCAAGCCTGATTTCAGTGTGATAATAATGATATGTCAAAACACACAAAGGTCTGTGAACTGACCTTTCCTCCGCCGATCCCCATGCCACAGTTGTTGAGCCTGAGCTCCCTCAAGGTGTGGCAGGAAGGGCTCTTCAGCAGCTGCTCAATTCCCTTCACACCGTCCGGCCCAAAGGCGTTATCACTCAGGTCTAACTCAGTCAGCCTGGCCCCAGCACTCATCAATGCGCTGCCCAGGGATCTCTAAGGAAAGCACAACAAAGAACATATGAAGCAGGCATTTCCTGAGTTCTGAGAGAATTTAATCACAAAACAAATCCTGAAAACCATGAGCTGCATAAACCAGTGGCTGAAATTCTCACCAGAGCTGTTGGGATTTCAGAGCGCAGCCTCCCCGTAAACATGTCGCTCCAATAGCATCTCTGAGAGACACAAACAGTTTTTAACAGAGAGAAAACAGTGTGGTGTGTTTTCTTTACTGCAACAGTGGGGATATGAAATGTCAAAAGAATTACATGGATCTGAAAGTATTATTACTGCAAGACTGGATATTAAATCAGGGTACTTTTTCAGGTCCTAAATGTGTGGTATGGCTACAGTCTGCTTTACTGGTAATGGAAACCATGATGGGAGAATACCTGGAGCAGGTCTTTGCTCTCCAAAGCCTTGGCAATGGCTTGGGCTGCCTCCACGCCAACAGTGTTCCCTTCCAGACGCAACGCTCTCAGACCCTGGTACTGCTCTATCTCACGGACCAACTCCTCCACTGAAAACAAAGATACAGGTTATCCTGTTTGGGCATGTCTACAGTGCACCATGACTACTGAAACAAAGCTCATCAGCACTCTCTGTTCAGCATCTAACCTGATTCTGCGTTGTCCAGTTTCAGTCCCAGGCCTTTATAGCTCAACTCTCCATCCCCGACATGGGTCTTGGAGAGAGCATCAGCTAGCTGTGCAATGTCATCTGAGGCCATAATGACTGTATAAGAGACATCCAGAGGTGAAACAATAGAAAGAAAACAGATTTTAGTGACATACTTAGCATATAAATGATCTACATATGGCATTTAAACAACTAACTATATCCGAAATGAACAAATGATGTTCAGTGAGAATTGATACCTTACAGACGGATTATTTTCTAACGTCAGTAAAAGAACCATCAACAACAGTCAGGTTAGCTATTTAGCTTCACCGGTGCTAGCTAAGTAGAAGTGCGCAACCTAAGAAACGCTGACAACATTAGTTAAACTAAACCTGATGTGACTGTGAGTCCGGAGTTTATAAAGTCAATTCACGTGTCTCTCGGCCATTTATTGGTAATTCAACTCTCATTACAAGATAGAAACCCACTAATAACGCTGACAACTTACTACAAAGAGTAGTTTCCTGGGAACAGACAGCGAACACACTCCGCTCCTTCCGCGCGGCGCGCCGGTTGCTAAACCATGTGATGTCATGCTGCCCCGGTTTCTTCTTCGTTGATTACATTAACGTCAACTAAAAATGATGTAAAGGAGTGTTTTACCGCCACCTGCTGTTTTCTGAGTCCGCTCGGTATTGAAAAACTGTATGAGAATTGAATAACTTTATTTTTTGTGCGGGTTTTTTGTGTTTTTTTTCTGAAATTAGCCATTTAAAGTCTTTCTACAAAAAATCAATTGAAATACGTTTGAATTAGTACATTTTTTAATTTTGTACATTTTAAATTAATATTTTTTTAAAATGACAATTATTTGACTAAAATACGTTTTTAACAATGATATGCTAATGTATTATTATTATTATTATTATTATTATTATTATTATTACAGTATATTTATTTCTAAGTGAAGATTCTTTTTGGTCCCATTTTTACGGAAGCGTAATGCACAAAAAAAATCTGCTCTGTTTTTCTGAATTAACGACATAATTATCTCCTTAATTCGGAAAAACAGGATTTATTTTATTTTATTCTTTTTAGAGAGAAGTAAAAAAAAAAGTTTTTCTGAATTAAGGAGATGATTATGTCGATAATTCGGAAGGAGGACTTTTCTTTTATTTATCTATTTTTTAGAGAAAAGTTTTTCAAAAATCCTGTTTTTCTGAATCGACATAATTATCTCGTCAGAGAGAGTTTTTATTTTTTATTTTTTTTAAAA